TCTCTCTCTCTCTTTCTCTCTCTCTTGCTGTGTCCACATATTTGTCTGTGTATACAGTGCTCTCCAGATGTCAACGTTCACCACGACCGGGCAGAAAAGGAAGCTGGGCGGAGAGTGTCATGCAAGGATGGATGACTTCCTTCCCCCAGGCGGCAAGGACCACAATACACCTGAAACGGATCGAAACAGGGGTCGGACTGTAGTTAGCGACCGAGAACATATCGGCAGGCTAACAGAGGAGGTGCATAAGCAGAAAGTACTGCTTAGAGAGATGTCAGACGAACTACGCCGCGTCAAGTCGCTTCTCGACGAAATGACGGAAACCGCGGAGCACAAGATGTTCACCGTGTTCTGGTTGTTGTTTGACAACCCGAAAGATATACTAGACGTTACTCGTCTGAGGGAGGACATGTCAACCAGACTTCAGGCAATTGCTGAAACGAAGAACACCACGTTCGACGAGTTTCAGGCATGGCTGGATATTGAAAGGGAAAGGCGCACCGCCRTCTTGAAGCGGTTCTCCGCCCATGTCACGAAGACAACAAACAGGGAATCAGACGGAGGGGATGTCATGTGTCTTGCCAGCTGCGAAAAGTGTGTGCTCAAGGAGGGGTGGGCATCGTACAATTCCCAAGATTACAACACAGGTTCGCTACCTACGATGGCACGCAGCGTCGTTGACCTCTTAGCCTTCGCCGAGGACTGCATTCGCCACTGTACGAAAACTGTTGACGAGTACGGTCTGAGTGAAGTGCGTGTCGGGTCTGTTAATGACGAGCTTCTTGCAAAAATCGCGACTCTGCTGAGCAGTTGCTCCGACGTAATGGATGCCCTGCAACACACTCGAGGCAGGATGTTGGCTGGGGAACTGACGGTGACATGTACGGAAAGAGATGTTATGGGATGTGGAGAAGGTGAAACGAAGAAGGGAAGAGAGGAACCTGACAGACCAATCGGAGTGTGTTCGGGGAATGGGGCCACTCTTGGGAAGGATGCGCCTGCGCCACATGTCCTGTTTGCGTGCAGTGATGTTGCCGCACTGAAATCTCACCACGTGCGTCACAACTTCCCCTGCGTGCTTACCAGCAAAGCACCTTCGACTGTACCAGAATCTTCTCTTATGCCTATGACGACGGAAATTTTTAAAAATTTCGTTGCTGACGCAAACTCTCGACAAATGGCGAGGCTGGTGGTGGACTGTTTTTCGCATATAATTTCATATATCAAAGATATAATGGGACCGGTGTTACTGAACGCGGGCCGTCATGGAGCGGAAAAAAACTGTGAATATTGYAGGAAAGGACTTGACATCCATGAGCGCTTGGAAACTCTGTACAGAAGATGTCAAATTGTGGCAGCGTGGGTCGTCAGGGAAGCGTGATCTCTCTCTCTCTCTCTCTCTCTCTCTCTCTCTCTCTCTCTCTCTCTCTTTCTATCTGTGTGTACGCATGTCTACCTGTCCGACAGCACAAAGTTGTCCCCCTTGCAGGCCAATTCTGGTCTCGCATGTCACGTTTGGCATCGTGTTGCATCGGTGACTGGTGAACGTGTCGATAAAGCAGAGTATTATTTTCCACGCTGCAATAGGTATACTACTGCATGCCATGACTGTGTGTATCATTGGTGGTTGTTGTCCCATCGCCCCGCGGTAACCAACCTCTCTGTTTGTCCAGTGTATGTATGCATGTCTGCGACAGGTTGACTACTGCGGGCCATGTAAGTGTACATCGCTGCTGGTTGTACTCGTTCTGGCCCTTAGTAGTCAACCTCTCGCAATCAACATTCTTTTTTTTTTCCCCAGTTGGATGAGGTTGACTATTGCGTGCGATGTCAGTGTTTGCCGACGCTGGTTGTTGTCCTGATGGCCCGCAGTAGCCAACGGCCCTCTAACGCACTGTAGTTTAGCCTGTATGGGCGAGGTTGACTACGCCGGGCCATGTAAGTGTACACCGCTGCTGGTTGTTGTCGATCTGGCCCGCARTAGCCAACCTCGCRCTGGTGCCACATTTTTTCATGATTTCTCAGGTGGGTGAGGTTGACTACTGCGTGCCATGTCAGTGTGTACCGAAGCTGCTTGTTGTGTCAATGGCCTGCAGTACCCAACCGCCTTCTAAGGCATCGTATGTCTGCCTGTATGGGCGAGGTTGACTACTGCGGGCCATGTAAGTGTACACCGCTGCTGGTTGTTGTCGATCTGGCCTGCATTAGCCAACCTCGCGCTGGTGCCACATTTTTTTATGAGTGGCCAGGTGGGTGAGGTTGGGTACTGGGTGCCATGTCAGTCTATACCGAAGCTGGTTGTTGTGTCAATGGCCCGCAGTAGCCAACCTCCCTCTAACGCAGTGTATGTCTGCCTGTACGGGCGAGGTTGTCTACTGCGGGCCATGTAAGTGTACACCGCTGCTGGTTGTTGTCGATCTGGCCCGCAGTAGCCAACCT